GAAGTTCCTTCTCCTCTGGCTTCCTCTTCGGATGGAAAGAAAACTGCAGGTGCTGATATGTCTCATTAGCACGAACATGCATCTCAGAAGTGGAATAATAATAAGTAGATCGTGGGAGATCACTTTCCAATCTGATTGTATACACCTTCCGTGGGTCACGATTCAATGAAGGGAATGTGAAGAAGCGAGATCCTGGTGGGGTGAGAGGTAAAGTCAACAGCTGATGATCATCTCGTAGAATCACGAACTTCAGAGAGGAGAGGTATTCTTTGTCTGTGTCAACATATGCTGTGAGATCCAAGTGTGCCTGAGGTCTCAATCCAATAAATCGCATACCAAGAATATCTTCTTGCTTCACCTCAATTGGAATAGAATGTGGGGTCCATGTTTCCATCTGATGCGAAAGAGCTTGGTCTCCTCGGATGCGTATGATGTATGAACAGCCAGGCAAGAGACCCTTGATGTGAAACTGACCTTGACCTTGACTGGCAGCTTCTTCGTGACTGCGCTGACACTCTGAGCGGCTCTGTCCAACAGCTTCGACCATCACATTTGAAATGGGGTCTCTGAGCAGTGTCACCACTTGGCCATGCACTGAATAAGCAGTTCTTGTGCCACTGAAATCCACATTCAAAGTTTGGCCTGCCTTGAGTTCAACATAATGGGAGCCAGGTAAAAATTCATATTCCTTGAGGACTGGTTTCACAAAATAATTTCCAGGACTTAGACCAATGAGATACAGAACTCCATCAGCATCTGTGAGGCTGTTCTGGCGGAAGGCCTCACCCCCTGCAACAGTGACTAGTACATCAGGAAGTACATTTTCACCATCTTTGCACTTGACAATGATCTCAGCCAGCTTGTAAGCAATGAAATGACCCAGAGTCTTTCCAGGGGTGAAGCTATAGCCTTGCTTCTCTGCTGTAACATTCTCAAGATGGTCCTTCTGTAAAGGCCCAACCAAATACTTTCCTGCTGCATCTGTTTTTATCTTGATGGGTTCCTTCCCTTGGCAGTGAACTGTAATGAGAACATCTGGAAGAGGAGGTTCCACTTGTCCAGAGATTACCAATCCCTTCTCAGCTCGGAATTGGACTACATCTTTGAGACATTCATCTTGCATCTTGATATGGAATTCTTGGGGATCAAAAAGGAGATTCTTTGCCTGTGGCATGATAATCAACTCTTCTCCTACTTTTCCTAAATACTCAAAGTGGTATTTGAAAGTACCAGCACTACCTTCAGATCCCTTAAGGGGGCCAAGTTCAATTGGTTTCTCTTGCTGGGGAATCTGAACCAGCATCAACAAAGCCTCAATAGGAAAGTTTGATACAACACTTCCAGATAATAGATGGGATGATGCCGTAAACAGAATTTCATCATTCTTGTCCGTTGACCAAGTGAAATTCTGATTGGCTCCAAAGTGATGGCAACCCTGAGGCTGTAATATATATGAACCAGGCCACTGTAGACAGAATTCATTCTTTCCCTTGATGACATTCAAATCACCCTTCTTCTTCCCATTTTCATATTTTAGTTTAGCATCATGACTTGAACTAATTTTGAGGATATAACCACTTTGCTTGAACTGGGGTATTTTGGGAGGTGTAGCTTCATCAATTGAGATCTTCAAGGAAGAATGTTCCCAGCACCAGCCTTCTTTCACAATTTGCAGGTTGTAGTATCCAGGCAGAACATTTTCAAATACAAACTTTCTATCCTGAAGAGTGACTTTGCTCTCTGACCCTGGAGTGCCTTCTTCTGGTATGAGTGCAATCTGGATATCTGATGAACATTTATTGATGCACTCTACCTCTCCAGTTATTTTGGCTCTGAAGGGTGTGAATTTGAGATTTCTCATGGGGATGTCTGAAACCAAGACCATCATGGGATTTGGAGAGTAAGTGAGACCATGAGATCGAGCTTCTGTAGGTGTCAGTGGGTAGAGTGAGAATTTCTTGCCTGGAGCTAAATATGTGCAAAATTTTCCATTTTCATCAACTGATGCCTGATGAGCCTTACTCTGATCAGCAGGATCTTTTGCCTGCACATGAAAGCTGGTAAAAAGCAGCCCTGCAGGTAGAACTCCGTCCTTGGGTTTCTCAAAGAAACCACAGACTTCAACTTGCATAGGAGTAATAGTAGGCAGGACAGGTGACAAGGCAGTGACTTGATGGGTATGTTCCTGAAACTTATATCCAGTCATCTGAACAGTAATCTTGTACATACCAGACTTGACACCTTCTAAAGTGAATACTCCATTAGAGTCAGTAATGGCTGATAAAGTGCCACTTAACTGGACCTTTGCACCCTCCATCCCTTTTCCAGATGTGGTTAAGATCCGACCACTCACAGAAAAGCCTGCAACAAGGAATGCATCTTGGATCTCCAAGGAACCATGTGTCACTGACACAAGCAGTTGCTTTGGCAGGACCTCAAAATTGAGCTTGTCTTTCTTATATTGTGGGATAATAATGTATTCACCAGGTGGGATAACAGGAAAGGTGAACACTCCATGCTTCTGGTTTGACTCCACATAGCATGCAAACTTGGCCTCTGGAATATCTGGTTTCAAGATCCCTTGTTGTTGTTTGGTGCATCCTTCAATGGGCTGACTGGGACAAGTACCCTTACAGAACAACAAAAACTGCACCCCTCCAACTGGCTGATCTTCACTAAGAACCTGCCCAGAAATGTCATAGCCTCTAACCATCAATGCCTTCTTTATCACGATATCATCTGACTCCACCTTCACATCCACTTCTGCTGGCTCCATGAACCGCCACTTGGCATGTGAAGCAGATACATGATGGCTGCCAGGTTGAATACCAGTGAATGAAAACTTTCCCTGTTTGTCTGTCTCTGTTGTCTGTGTTTTTGCCATACCCTCTGTCTTGAGGGTGAGTTTCACTCCTTTGGGACCCACATCCTCATAACCCAAGCTGGTCACCACACCTGATATTGAGAATCCTAAAAATTTGAAATTTACATCAACACCCTTGCTGCAGGGGTCATTTCCGTTGATGGTCACATCCACAGCAGGAGGATCAAAAGACCAGCCATTTGGTGGTTCCACCTTCAGGGTGTAGTCTCCCTTGTCATAAATGGGTACAAAATAGTACCCATTGTTAGGAGCACAGTCGGTCTCAAATTTCAGGCTCCCCGTCCTACTATACAGCCTGATGACGACTCGAGAGAAGTCGATGGGAACGTCACTCTTCACGAATCCACCGCATCCTAGGACGCTTCCCTCGGCATCCACAAGAGAGAGACACCAAGAGAGGATGACTGCCAGTAAATTGTAGGTCTTGAATGTCACCCTTCTTGGAGATTCCATTGATAGCATCTGGAAAAGGGCAACAAAAATGCTGTCAGAACCAACAGGCATATTTCAATTCATAAACCAAAGGAGTAAATGCACTTGTGAGAGAAAAGTGATTTCCACATGGCTAATATCTTCCAATGCACCAAAAGGGATGGAAAAGATTAATGAAATTTCCCTTCCTTCAGATTCAGCAGAAGTTCAACTTTGCACTTCAAGATTAGACTTTGCTGCTTCATCCCTCCCTTCCAAGAAAGCACTTACTGAACAATAAGGATTGTTAATTTAATCCAAATCCTTAAAGCCAACTTATTAAATGACTTGCATTTGAATTATGCCTAATTAGAACCAAAGGAAGGATCCCATCATGACACAAAATCAACAACGCTCAGACTAGCAAGATTGCACTCGATGCTGGGTCTTCTACAGACATCATTCTTCACCCTATTATCGCATAATGCGACGGAACTCAAAAACACGAAGTGATGGCGTAATCGGGGTGAGATGAGATCAAAATTCTCCGGCATATAAGACGACGACCACGTGCACAGGGGAGTGGCCATGACGTTGCGTTGCAGTCAGGGCTGCTCGATTACCGAATCATTCTGGCTGCGTCATTCGTGGCGACAGAGCTTCACCCCTTACGATGTTGACCCGAGGCATGCAATATGTCGAAAAAATCGACATAAAATCTGGACGTGGAAACGTACTAAACATAGACGGCATTACACCCCTGTGATTGACGAGGTGTGACGAGAGTGAAAGTTCGGGAAGGCATGCACCAACCAACCGTGTCCAGACGCAAGGTATGGCTGCCTTCTCTCCTCAAGGACGTGTTCATCTCTCGTAGGATCTGTGGGCCATCGGCCAAGCCTGTGATCTTCACGTTTCGTCGCGAAGATGACTATCCCCCACTCTTCTGTCCTCACAGTCGTGTATTAAAAAGTTTAGGCTAAGTTAAGAGAGTGATAAAATGAGTGGTAAGATGTTATCTTAGCCCCCTCCTGTTCGTTTTAGGAGAGATAGCATGACCAGGACTTTACGCTTGGCCTGCAGTCTATGGTATATGCATTAAATTAGATTCTGATTCTATGGAACTAGTTTAGGACAGTCTTTAATAGCATCTTTTTTTAGATCTAATGTGATTCTGGTTGGATGTTACTCCTTGAAGGTGTGTAAGGTTGCCCAGACAATATGAAAAGGTTTTTCCTATCCATTTTCTTTTCAACTTAGTCCTAGAAAGGAAGTAGTTGATGTTTAAATTTTTTTACCTGCACTTTTCATTTAATGTGAATTGGCTTTCGACACAGTGCATGAGTCTTCCAGCCTGCTCTCTTGATGCTCTTAATTAGTTTCATTGTTACCAAAAGGGATACAGCACTTTGCTTCTTATTCATGAGTTGTCAATGTGAGGAACTCTTTTGTAGGATCTTCATAAAGCAGTCAGTTGGAACCATTGGCATGTAATGCCATCATTATCTACTAGTGGGTTGGATTTTGATTATTGATTGCATGTAAGGCAGGTGTTGGATGAGGAAAATGTGGTCAAGAGAGTATCCCTATCTTCCCCAATGAAGTCATGCTCGTAGCTTTCTCACGAACTCGAACACAAGTTCAAGGTTGCCTGCTGACTCATGTACTTGTTTGAGAAGCAGGAAGTAGTCCTTGCAGGAAGCTGAACGTTATCTGTTTTCTTCCACAGATGATTTCATGAGCAGTGAGCAAGCGACTTTAGCTGGCTATGCCTAGTTGTGTTGAAGCGACAATATTGGGGCGAACCAGAAATACTTGCGTACCTTAAGGTAGCTGTGAGGGCGAGGTAGGCCTTTCGAAACACAGCCTCATACCGCTGCTTGCAGAAAATGAAGAAACAATTCTTCAGAGTGAAGCAGTTGGCCGACCAGACCTTTTCGAGGTGAGTAGGATATCTCTTAATGTCTTTTGCAGTTCCTGGTTCGGATTTGGCCCATTGCATTTCAAGTGGGTGGGAAGTGCATGGAATGCCAAGTTGATTCAGCTTGGATTGCTAATGGGGAACATATTTTTTTAAACTTCTACGAGGACGAGTATCGTTTCGTTCGTTCTGAGTCGGATGAAACTGGAAGGATCGTGGTCTTGTGACCGTTTTGCACGGTCGAGTTTTTCCACACCGGAAGCGTCGACCCGGAGTTTCTTTTACTATCCGAGGTTGTTCCGATCCTTCATCCCGGTGAAGTGGTTTCTGATGGCATATGTGCTGTTATTTCCCTGAAATTTGCCTCAGTCTCCATCTGGTCCACTTTCTGATTTTGGAATAATGATGGAATAATTGAGGGCCTTGGAAAACGATGCGGGATGCAAGAACGGCATCGGCGTACCGATGACCGTCGTTTGAAGAAATCCGTCTCTTTCTCGTCGTTCTTCTCTCTCTTCTTCTCGTCGTGCCGAAAGACCCGACCCGAAGAGGTTGTGAGATGGATGTAAGAAGTATTGTTGCACGTTTCATGCCATCAGTGACAGATTTTCAGGAGAGAAAGAGTAAACAATCCAAGTATGGAAAAATCCCCTGGGGTGAGACATCTCACATGAACTGTTGCCAGACTCGACTGGCAATATGTTAGAAATGAGCAATCCATGATCCATGTATGGCTTGCTTATGAAGTTAAGACAGCCAAGTTATACTTTTTTTCCCCTTTGTTTTGGCCAGTGATGAATTCGTCTGGATCTGTTTTGCTATCAGTTCCACGGTAGCATGGTGACGATTTTCCGATGAATTCAGATGGATTCAATTAGGGCTGCACGATGCGTCGGCAGCCACCGGCATCGGCCGCCGGTTCGGCGCCATCGGCAGGTTTTCGAACCTCTTGCCAAAAAAAAAAAAGAAAAAGTGTGAATGAGCCCTGGCACCGGATTCTCTCGTCTCTTTCTCTGCGTCTGAGGCCTGAGTCTAATTATGGGATCCGGCTCGCACTCGTCCGTTCCGAGAAAACGCCAGCTCGAACCGATTCCGGTCTCCGTCGAGCGAGTGAAAAAAAATGCGTGCTCTCCGCGAGCCGGCGGGGGGTCTCGTCCGGCAGCTGACACCTGCGCGGAATGGAATGCGGGCATCGGACGAGCTGCGATCTCGTATCGGTTTTTTTTCCGGGAATGCGCAGGCCCGGGGGCCGGCAGATTTCCATGTTTCGGCGTCGGTGCCGTCCCCGTGGTTTTTATTTATGTAATTTTTTTTTTTTTTTGTAAGCGTGGGGTTTGGCCGTTTTCCGACGCGGGGCTGCGTCAGGTGGTGGCCTTGGGCGTCCTGCTGCGCTTCCGTTTCTGTGCCAGAAAAATTCGTGTGCTTCCGGCCTTCTCGTCGTACCCTGGCCAAAAAACGGTGGGGGGGGGGGGAATTTAATGAAACTGTGCGGAATATCTGATGAGAGTTTGTAGGTTTCGCACGTGCCATTGCTACAGCCCTAAATTTAGTAAATTTTAACCTTAAATTCATGCTCTTCTTTGTGCCCTAAGCATGGTGGTATTTAAGATGGAGATTGCATATCGGAATTCATCGAACGAATAGATCCCAGAACTGCATACGTATAAAAATTGCACACGAGAGACGTAATAAAATGGAATCGTTTGTCGATGCAGGGCCGAAAGAACCGAGCTGCTGTCGGACGACTTGGCCGTGGCGGACAGACGAGTGGAAGCCCTGCAGAGAGCCTGCCACGTTTCCTTCAAGAAAGCCAAAGATACCGTGCAGGGTGTTGGTCTCGGGCTCGATGGACCCGCGCAGGACAAGCGGCTGGTAACGTGGTAACGTCTCGAAGATGGGTGGAGGGGGTGAGAATGCGTTATGGGAGTTTTTTTTTTTTCTGTGCAGAAAAAATCTCCGGAGTATCAGCTTGCCACTGCCCTTCAGCAGGCTACGGCGGATTTCGAAGGGCATTCCACCCAGGCCGTGTTGAGGTATGCTCGCGACCGTTTCTCCGTTTTCCCCCGGGTTCGTTTTGACCGTCGCCGGAACGATTCGCCGTTCAGGGAGGCGTTCAAGCAGTGCGGGGACGTGCAGATGAAGCTGTCGGAGCAGTGGCTGTTGTACGAGACGCAGGTGGAGCAGCACTTCCTGGCGCCGCTCGCGATCATCCTCGACAATGAGTTCCCGCAGATCGTGAAGCAGAAGGATCGGCTCAAGAAGATGGGGCTGGATATGGACTCGGCGAGGTCCAGGTGGGATTTGGGGGGGGGGGGGTCCAGTTTCCTTTCGATTTTTCCGAGAACGTGAATGTAAATGGTTGATGCGCTCTCTCTCCTCGCCTTTCGAGATAAAAGAAGATACGATAAGATAGGAAGTCAATGAGAAGAAATATCTGTAATAAAAAAGGAAGACCTTGTACTTTGATTTTATGAAGAGGCAATGAAGAAAGCTCCCTCCCCGGGTCCCCAGATTTATTTGATTCTACCCCACCTCCCACTACATTCTTGCTAACTTTGCCTGGCTTGAGGGACGAGGGACCTGTTACAATCAAATATTCTTGCAGGAAGCTCTGTTTAAGGTATCTAAGAAATGTTTTGGGTGGGCAGTATAAGATCAGTCTGATATTCCAAGTTTCCATGGAGTCTATTTTTGTAACCAATACCCTGTTCCCATCCTTAGCATTAGAAAACAGCAGTTTTTTTTTCCTGAGAGAGCCTTTTCTTCAGACCTCACGAGGACCATCGTAGGATTTTATTTATTTGCATCCATCTCAAAGATAACATTTGCAGAAATGAATTATGTAACTGATGTGTGGCCTGGGGCTCACAGAGGCTGATGTTAGCAATTTAAAGGGGTGCACCTATAACTACATTACATAACCTTATCCATTATGGATGAGCTGGTAACTAGATTTTGTTCTCTTTGCCAGCCCGAAATATTGCAGGAAGGTCTTCATAGTATCCTCCCATGAGCTGGCTGATGATGTTATTAGGTTATCTTCAAGTCTCATAAATGAGAGTAAAGCAAATAAGAGAGAAAAATGGAGTAATAGATTTCTGCATCATTTTCAGCTCTGGACTTTACTGTTTGAATTGCTTGCTTTGCTATTGGTGCTTTGGCACCAATACAGGGTGTCCCAGAATTGATTGAACATTTGTCCTTTTGCCTAGCCTATGGCCTAGAAGGGCATAATCTTATATGCCTTGTGTTATGCTAAGTTAGCAGAGGCCTTATATCAGAGCAGCCCAGATGCAAACCTCCCTATGTTCAGTCAATTCTGGGACACCCTGTATTATGCATCTTATTTTCCCAAAATCAGATGTTAAGAAAATCGATTTCTCTCCTCCAGGTACACTCAGGCTCTCCGACACGGTGCCGAACCGGGGAAGACTGAGGCCTTGAAGGAAGAACTGGATGATATCCAGGCCAGATTTGAACAATGCAGAGTCTGTCTTCTACTTTTGCCTGGCTGTGTGATGTAGGAATGTTCCAAAGTCTGATGGTGAACGTGTCATTTTCCCATTCAGGACAATCTTGCAGCAGACATGTTCCAAGTCCTGAGTCACGAACCGGAAGTGGCTCAGCTTCTGGTGCAGCTCACCCGGCTGCAGAGAACATATCACGAGGAGTCGCTCAAGGCCCTCAACGAACTCCTGCCTTCTCTCGAGTCTTCCATCAGTATGTGTATTTTTCCGAGCGGGCTGCGTCCGGTTTAGACCCGTTGCAGGTTCTGAAATGCCAGTGGCCTCGTCCCCCCGCAGAATCAAACCCGACACAGCGCGTCTACGGGACGTCCTTGGACGAGCACCTGAAGGTGACCGGGAGGAAGATCGCCTGTCCCGTGGAGACGTGCGTGTGTGCCTTGCTCGAGACCGGCCTCGAAGAAGAGGGACTCTTCCGAGTTGCCGGAAGTCCGTCTTCTCCTTGCGATCCGTTCCTCTCGGGAATCTTACGAGCTCGCTGATGCATGAACAAATAAATATTGGCAGGTGCTTCCAAGTTGCGACGCCTGAAGCTGGCTTTCGACGTGGGCTTGGAGAAGCCCGAGTTCTTCCGACAGACCTACCAGGACCCCCACGTCATAGCAGGGGCTCTCAAGAGCTACCTCCGCGAGCTTCCAGAACCCGTCATGACTCACAATTTGTATTCTGACTGGCTGCAGGCTGCCAAGTATGAAAATTGCAGATTTATAGCACTATTAAGATTTTTATTTACCTTGCAATTTATTTGCTTTGTATATCTTAATACCTTGTATGACATGATATATAAGAAGTTGGTTATTGAATAAGGTTTTTTTTTTTAGATTACAGTCATTCTGGTGAATTGAGCATCATTTTTGTCATTGAAAGTTGTAGAGCCACAAAGATTGATTTTGTCAATTCTGTTGTATTTACAAGTGACTTGTGCTATTCTACAGGGTGCAGGATACAGAGATGAGAATTCAGGCACTAGAGAAGGTGTTGGAGAAGCTCCCCGTCAGCCACCGAGCAAATCTCCGTTACTTGGTCAAGTTCCTTCATCGGCTGGCATCCAGGCAGGATGTGAACAAGATGACTCCCCAGAACATTGCAATCGTCTTCGCCCCCAATCTCCTGTGGGGAGTGGGGGAAGATCCAGCCACCGGGTGAGTCCGAGTCTCGTCGCTCCGATGCCTCGTTCTCGGGGCGAACGCGGTATCGTCACGAGGCATTCTGATTGATTCTCACAGGAACATGAACCTGAGCACCGCCAATCTCCAGTGTGTTGTAGTCGATGCATTGGTCACACATGCTAACCGGTTCTTCCCTGGAGGTTTGTTTTTTCCCTTACTGATAGAATCTACAATTATTCCTCTTTTGCTCCTCTTGACGATCGACTGGCTCGTTCCGCAGAGGAGGAGTTCTATTTGACTGTCACACCTCATCCTTGCGAGTCTTTGGAGAGTGACCCCGGAGAGGAAGAACTGCTGTCGATCAGTTCCCCGTCCCCAAATCACATGGATTCTTCCTCTTCTCCGTCCCCGCATCTATCCGACGGGCATCATTCTGCACCAAATGAGCTACCAAATGCGGCTATCAGCACAGGGTGAGCCGCATGTCGATGGTTTGTCATTTGACAAACTGATAGTTCTCCCATTTCTGATGCCGTGGAAAGTAGTGGCCACAGACGATGAGGATTCCTGAGTTCACACATCAGTTGAATCCTGTGGTTTATTCCTCTTTGACTTTTATTTCACATTCATCAATCATTGGATCTTTTTAAATTCATGTGTGGCATTCATAAAGAAATTTAGGGTAGGATTTGCACCGAGTACTATCTGACAATATAGTTTATTTTCAGGTAAAATACTCCATTGTCAAAGAAGTGATTTTTTTACCAAACATTTTCCATAATGCTGCATTATACATATAGACGCTGGTTTTGATCATGATGGAGTAGGTCCAGAGGTTCTCTTTTGTCGATAACGTTGTATTATTTTCATCAGTTGCAATGGGTGGGTTGCACGGCTTCCATCACGTCATTGGTCCTTCCTATCGAAGGTCGTTGAGCCGTGAATTTCCCAAAAATTTGTTCGTTTATTGCTTGATATGTTCCTCAACATATCTCCATAGTAGAACTTCAGAGTGCATTCTGAATCCATACAAAAATATTTTTGATGAATATGTTTAAATGGTTCGTGATGCCCCACTCCTGGGGTACAATGGACCTTTGTTTTAAATCTCCGTTTCTGTTTTATATGATGTGACGTTCTCACCTTGGTCTCTTGGACGACTAGCTTTTCACCAGAAAGGTTGACAAGTACTGTCAGTTTCTGGTCTGCAAACTCCACTGCAAATTTGGTTTGGAATGGCTATACTAGGATCTGCAACAACAGAAAAAATTGAAAATGTTTTCTGGTGTTGCAGATTGTCCCAAGCATTGTCATATTTTTCAATAAAACCACTAACTGCATAAGTGGTAACTCGCTGTCCCTGGCTTCTCATCGTCCAAAAATTTCCTGATGATTTTCTGGTTTTCAGCCATGTCGAGGCAATGTTTTGTTCGTTGCTGATTTTGTTGGAACCTGGTCTGACGTCGGGAAGTGACGGGACTTCTGCTATTGCCCGTTGCCCTTTGCTTCTACGCGACGAATTCGTTTCCCGATGTCGTGGGATTTTTTCGGACCGGTTAAAAGTGGCGATGGATTCTTGCGAGCTTTGAAAGCTCGTTGTCACTTGGCTTGCTTGGGTGGGAGGTGCGGTGTTACCGTCGCCAACTGTCGTTGAAAATAATCGAGGATTAATATTTATAAAAAAAAGCATGATCGAATGCAGCTTAATCCTGGCGAATTCAAAAATTAAAATATATAAGATTGTGCTTCGTTTTTTAAAGCTGCATGGTGAAGCAGGATTATCAGGGTTCAAAAATCCACCCTTAGTGTGTTCCGATGCGCCCTAAGATGATGCCGTCGATAAAGAACAAGATGGGAAACTTCGTGGGAAACATGTTCGCTTTCAGGCGTATCGGTTGCATTCGACTCCTGCAATCGGCCCGACAGGGATATCGGTAGCCGGATTGCAACGGAGGGTTTAAATGTTGCACGGGGGTGGTCGGGTCTTGCGTGGAGCGCGGGAGGTATCGACCGGGAATCGCTTCTCACCCCCATTAATGTACCGCTTGAATCGCGAGTTCGGTCCTACTGGGCGAAGGGGAATGGGTGGGAGTGTCGGTTTTGCGCAGTCTGATGTTGGAGTGAATTTGAAGGGCTTGGAGGAGGGGCGTCGCTTCATGGCTGCTCCGTTATGATAGCGAAGTCAATATGAGACTGCGGGTGGACGATGTAGTTATCTTGAAACAAATAATGTGTAGCCGCTGATGTCAAACGTTTCTGTATCTAATCTTCCCTGACGTGTAGTAATCCGATGCGCCGTTGTTGAATAGACCCCAGCGGTATGCTTTTCGAGTCCTCTGTTGACGTAGTTTGCCGTCGACTTTTGCGGAGAAAAGGGTTGGCTGGGGTCTTGAAGGAGATTGTCTATTACGAGATGCAAGAGAGGTCGTTTTTTCCTTCTTAAGGACGTGTTTTCGTTGAAAAATAAAATGAGGTTTTCGTCTGAAGATGAAGTAGATGCGATTTCGTGGTGAAAGCTTGTTTATGGCGGTTGGTACAGTGAGAATTGACTTCGTTACGAGGTGTATTTCGTTATATTAATTTGTTGCAACGTTTTATCATTTTACATGGGTCGACTAGATGTTGATTTTAAATTTTTTTTTTTTAAATTGTGTTTTTCATTAAGGCGTATTTCGTTGCAACTGACGTCGACTGTATCGCAACGATTGAACAAAAAAAAAATCAGCATCGTAGAGTCGATTCGCGTTCGGATCATCGCAAAAAGTTGATCCTAGTTTTTCACCTTTTTTTTTTCTAGTGAAGAAAGGTGCAGAACGCCTTGTAATTTGATTTCCCCCCTGCGAATTGGAATCGCTGACTCCTTTCTTTTGACCGGTTGCGTCAAAGAAATGCACTTTTTTTCCTCTCTTGATCCTTGAAAAAAAAATAAAATGTAGCTGTATCAGGCGATGCCGAGAACGCTTACTCACGAGGGAATGAGGCTGTAATGACAAAGATGAATGAAAGGGGGGAGGGGAAGAAAGTCTGAATGACGAAAGTAGTCATTACTCGATCATAAGAAAGGGGGAAATGGAAGGCGATAAGTTTTTTTTCTCTGTTCCGTCTCTTCTGCTATCAACTCCGGATGAGCGGGGGGGGGGGGGGGGGGGGGGGGGGGGG